TTACCGGTGTATGAGCTTTTTTTTAATCAGAGAGTAACATCTTTGCCTATCTTCTATTATTCATTTGGCATTAAGACATAATACTTATCTTACTTGATCTAGAAATATTTCATAATAGATATAAAAGTGAACTGAAGATTTAATTAATTATTGAAATACAAATAAAAAAGTCGTCGTTTTTTTTTTGATAATTCTACTTGAATAACGATCAAAATTGATCGATTTTCTTTATTATCTATTTATGATAAATTTAATTTATTTTTAAAGATAATGTTTAATTCTATATCTCGATATTCTATTCGATATATTTGGAAAGGTGGCGCAATAAAATCTCAGTATTTATCTGTCTTATTGTCATTATCAAGATCATCAATAGAATTGAATAAAAAACTGAAAAATATGATTGACTCACAGCAATATATACAAGCTCTTAATCTTTTTGATCATCAACAATCAATATCTACTAATGTAAGATATACTTTAGCTTTAAAAGCATGTTCTCAACTAAATGATTATGAACGTAGTATTCTTATTCATAAACAATTATCATTGAAATCACTCAAAGATCCATTTATTCAAACATCTTTAATTCATTGCTACAGTATATTATTATTTTCAATATCGTATTTCAAACGATCATTATTAAGAAAATAGTTTTATTTTTAAAATAATTATCGAATAAAATAGATTTTGTATAAAAATGATTTGTTTGTTCTTGTGCGTATGTATAGTGCAATGTTTAAAGGTAATATGAATTGATTTTCTTTGTTTAAAAATAATTTAAAGAATAATTGATTGATAAATAGGTTACATATCGAATAATATGCCAGAAAAAGTACTTGAGTTATTTGAAAAAAATTCAATAGATATTGATGAAGTTATCATTACAATGTTATTTAATGCATGTGCCAAACTTTGTGCTATTCAAATTGGAAATGATACACTCAAAAAATTACCATTTTCTTTTCTTAATCATCAAAAATTAGTTAATTCAGCTATTGACATGTTAATGAAATTTGGTGATGTCAATCAAGCTCAAGTTATTTTTAGAAAATTCAAAATAAAACTCTTGTTACTTATGGAGTAATTAAGTAAGATTATTCACAAAGTTAAATTTAAATTTAATACAAAATTTTATTTTTAGGTTATCTTACGAATAATTTATTTGATAAAGTGTTAGATTTATTTGAAAAAATTCCTTTAAAACCGAATGAAGTTTTATATTCAATTTTTTATAATGCATATGCTGCATTATCAAATGAAAAGCGATTTGAATGGGAAAAAAATACTTTAATCCAATGTCAAACATATATCTCAATGATATTATTCTAACTAATTCAGCTATTCATATGTTTATGAAATTTAGTGAAATAGATATTGCTCAATCATTATTTTCGAATATGAAGAAATGAACTTTGTATACATATGGAGTGATGATCAATGGTTACTTGATATAAATCATGAACGACAAAAATGTTTATCACTTTTTCAACAAATGAAAACAGAATATTTAACAATCAATGAACCTATATCTATATCATTAATTGGTGCATGTTCTCAAATAGGTATACGTTCAATATCTGAATATATTGTTAATCAAATACCTCATTTATCATCAAATTCTTATGTAAATAATTCTTTGATTGATATGTGGGTATGTTTTATTTATTTATATTATTATTTATCTAAAATTATTTCAATAGGGTAAATCAGGTGATATTAATCAAGCAAGAAAAGTTTTTCAATCGATTATTAAACCTGATATAATAACATATAATTCTATGAGCATATATTAATAATGATTATTATTTCGATTGTTATTTTATTTCTCTAGTAAATGCATATGCACAAAATGGAATGGGCTACGCAGCTATTGATTTATATAATCAAATATTTGAGAATATTCATGATAAAATATCACATATTTGCGTTTTGAATGCTTGTTCTCATTCGGGTCTTATTGATCAAGCTCGAATTATATTCAATAAAATTCATCCGAACACAGAAGATATTATTGTAGCAATGGTTTGTTTATTGGCTATCATATGTGTCATTAAAACAATATTTTCTTTTTTCTTTCGTTTGATAGTCTAGATCGTTTGTCTGAGTCGTATGGGTATGTTTGATGAAGCACAAGAAATAATTAATAATTATGAAAAATTCAATAAACCATCTTTGATTATGTATAATAAGGATATAATCAATATAATATACAAAATAGATTAAATCAATAAGATTACTTTTCGTCAAATTTCTTCTAATGTCATTTTGTTTTTGTTTGTAGCGGCGATGTTATCAGGTGCTCGAAATCATCGTCAAGTTATTCTTTCACAAAAATTCTACGATCGAATGAAATATTTATTTTCTGATAAGAAATCCGATACAATTTCAGCTTCGATTCTCTTATCTAATACTTATGCATCATTGGGTGATAATCAACAAGCACAAGAAATACGAGAAAATAGAATAAAAGAATTTGGTAACAAAGTTAAAGCTGGATTATCATGGTCAACTTGTGGTAAAAGAAAAGAAAACACTTGTTTTTTATTCATTTGTTGATGATAAAAATGTTTTGTTTTGTTTCTAAAAAAAAGGCATTCAAAGCTCATGATCGTTCTTGTCCACAATCAGATGAAATTTATTCTGAACTTGATCGTTTATCAAATGAACTGAAAGAACATGGTCATGAATATGATTCAAGTTGGATAACTCGTCCATTTGAATATGGTGAAACAATTGAATCAGTATTGTGTGAGGTGTGGGTGTGGGTGGGTGTGGGTGTCAGTGTGGGCGTGGGTGGGTGTGGAAGTGGGTGTGAATGTAGGTGTGAATGTCGTTCTTGTAAACAGTCACCCACACCCCACACCCCAAATGGTATATAAATCTGTAGCCCTAAAGAATTAATATGACGTCCTTTTTTTTTATTGTGCTTCGTTGGATGCAACCAAGATCTTTTATGGTACAAGTCTGTAGGAAAAATTTTCTCAAAAAATTAAATCTCTCGTTAGTTTTGCATATATAAACAGTTGATATCTTTTTGAATATAACCGAACTGAATCGATCAGTTTTTAAAAAGTTCAAATCAAACTATCCTCATCTCTGATTTGAAATCTAAAGACAAGAAATGATTTCTTGCATCGCTAGCTATGGCAATAGATACATTATACGTGAAAAGTCAAACAGACCTCTACGTAAAATAGTAATTCAGCCTGATTATCCGTCGCATAACGAAAATTTATGTATTTATTAATATACAAGTTGCCAAACCGCTTTTTCTTACCTATCAAAATATAAGCGTTTATTGAGAAGACGCAATTATTCAGAATCGACAACATTTTTTACAATTCTTCTTAATTTAAAAATTGTAGAACTACCGGTATTAGCTCATTTGAGCCAACAGTATAGAATTTTTCTCAATATATATTTCTATTTTTCAGTAACTTTTCGGTATTTACATTATCTTATTTGTTAAATATCAATTTTGAATCACTGTCAATTTCCGGCTAGAAATTCCATTCAAGTCAGGTTTATAAGTAGTTTGTTCAACACTTTTCTGTTTCCTTAACTTGTAGCGAGCAAAAAGCGGTCGATAGTAGATATATTATTTCTGGTTAATCTGAATACAGATGGCAGGTAGATTTCTGATATCTGACTTCTGATTAAATTGGATATAGTAGGGTTTTTTTTTGAGCTCCTAGCCATTTTCTGACTAGTGGTGCTTAAAATTATTGAATCACGATTAACTTAATCCAAATTTTCGTGAGTTGCTCTGATTCGCAGAAATTTTAAAATTTTCATGATTTAAAATTTTTGAAATTTTGGCACGCACATTTCAAAATTGGTATTGACTTAAGATTTGCCACCTCATGCTTGAGGATGTAGGTGCGGATGGTTCTGAATAGAACACCCTCACACGCCAGCACCCTAGGTTATGGCACTCACCCAACCTTCACACCCTCATTGCGTCCTCGAGCAGAAAGAACAAAAAAACTTCATTATTCGAATACTAATATTTAGCTCTTAATGTTGAACTGCGACGCATTGATTGGAAATTCATACAACTCCGGGACAGAAACTGAAACAAACTAATTAGTGAAATATTTAACCGACTATTCGAATTAGCATGTTAGAATCCAACTCTAGTGTTGCGATCCTCATTCACATAATATTTCGTGGTATTTGACGCAAAAGATTGTTGACGATGTGAGTAGGGTAAATGGCAGAACAGCCAACCGGTTATTGCAAGATGTGGGTTCGATTCCCATCCTGCTCAGATGATTCTTTTCATTTAGTTTTTCGTGCTAAACAGAGCATGTCGTGTGGATGTATTCATTTTATTCATATAAATATAATACCGTGGACAAGTAAAATGTTTATAGATAGCTGTACATGGGCTCGTTAAACGTTTTCTCTTTCAACAAAAACTTACGCAAACTCACCCTCATCCTCGAGATTTGTCGATTTGCTCGACTATGGTCACCGTCTGTCTATGTATCAAATATAGCGAAAAAACACTTCAACCAGTTTTCCGGCTATACAAATCATTTTAAAAGCCCTTTTTTAATTCTCTTTCGTCTTCTGCCAAGTTTCTGGTTAAATCTTTGTGTAATAATCGTGGTTTCTAAAAAAAAGTCATGTCTTTTTACACCTTGTTTCTTATCTCGATACGAATAAAAAGCTAGCATAAAGCATAAGGTTGCTATTCATGCAAGGGTAAGACTTGTAATTTTTTAGTGAAATGTCATTGAGTAAGAAACTCAAACATGTCTTTTGTTTTTAATTGCAGTTGTGAGGTGAGTATAAATGGATAAATATCAAAGTTTTCCATAGATAGCAGTTGAATTTACTGAATATATTTCAAATCTGTTTAGCTACTTCTAGTGCGTGCACGCGAAGTAGAAATTTTTGACTGTGAACTGGTCGGTTGATGTAGTTTTGCTCGAACTTGATCTGCAAGTAGTTGATAGGTAATCAAATCTTGGTGATCACTGGGCATTGTTCGACGAGCAATGCCAATAGCACTATTGTAGTTGTCCAAAGCTCGAAGATAAGCTCCAGTATGATCATAAATTCGAGCAAGATTACTGTACACTTTGATAAAAAATGGATGAGTGGACGGTAAAACTCTGGATACTTGGAGAGCAGTTTCGTACGAAGTCTTTGCTTCGTCATAGAAGCCTTGTTTTTCATACACAAGACCGCAATTAATGTGAACCGATGCCACATCCGTAGTTTTGGGAGCTGAAACCTGAGTGTAGATGTTGAGTGCCTTGTTAAAAAGTTCTAACGCACTCTTATACGCCCCACGATAATATTCGACAGATCCGAGCCTATTGTAAATAACCGCTACGTCTGAATGATTCTCCATTGAGGATGAGCATTGTATTTTCAGAGCGTAATCGTAATGTTTTCTGGCGTCAAAATACATTCTATTTTTCTCATGCACGAGACCAATCTTAATGTGACTCCACGCAATGTCAGGATGATTAGCAGGGAGAATTTTCTCTCGCATTGTCAGTACTTTTTTGAAAAATTCCAGTGCGTCTTCCACATGGTCAAGATCCATTTCAGCTGTACCAATGTTGCTCAAAGTCGTCGCTAAGCTTGGGTGATTCGATGGTAAAATTGACGTTAGCTGTTCATAAGCATCTCTGTAACATTGTAATGCATTTTTCACGTCGCCTTTCTTATGCTGCACGAGCCCTTTGTTACTCAACGTAACAGCAATCGAGAAAACATTCAAAGGAGGTGGCACCGATTTTTTAATTTTCAAGGATTGGTCGAAATTTGACAAGGCAGCTTGAAGATCTTCTTTCTCAAAGTATATCATGCCCATGTTGTTGTAGGTCGATGCTAGATCGAGAGGATATTCGTCCGCAAGTTTTTGCTGGATAAAAAGAGACTTTTCGTAGTTGCGTAGGGCAAGATCATGCATCGTCTGGCATTGGTATAACCAACCGAGGTTATTGTATAAGATGCCTTGATCGTGTTCAGTAAGAGGAGAGTCCAGTGGTTTGGCATAATAATACGCTGCTCGATCGTATTCTCCTATATCGGCCAGAGAGTCACCGAACGTAATTGTGTCTGTGTTGTTACTCCATTCGTTTTTTATATGATTGCTTAAATCGTTCATTGCAAAAATGTCACGCTCGTTTACAACTCTAAGGTGTATAATTGGTATATTTTCATCATGGGTAACCGCATCAATTCGGAAAAAGGTATTCATCGAGAATAAAATTTCCTCTTCGTCAGGAAAACTACTAACAGAACGCAAGTCAGCAAAACAAACTTGAGATATCATATCTTGAGGAACTAGAATTTCGATTAAAACACCAAAGCTTGTTGAAATGTTCATCTCTGTTCGATGCCGATTCGTCGCGTTTCGTTCGAGTGTAGCTATCTTTTCTTCATGTTCAGAGATTAAGCTGAGGTTCGTTATAAGATTACCCCTATTTCGAGCAGATTCGAAATGATCATTATAGTGTCCTTCGGATTCGGCAAAACACACAGCGACTTCTTTCCTTTTTGATGTTGACATGAAGGCACTGAACACGATATGATTTCCAACGTTCCGTTCATAACCAGAGAATTCTTCTGCTGTCAATTGTAATCCCCGATAGACTTTGAAATCGAACGACATACGGTCAACTTGTGAATCATGAAGCTGCTGAATCTGAGTGTAGAGATGCTTGATAAAATATCGAAACTTAAAAATTATGTCTATATTTCTGAAGCGGAGGGCGCGATTGAACTTTGTATAAAGAGATGTAGTCCCAGTGTAGTAATAGATGGCTCGATCAGCTGTATAATTTCGCTCCATATCTTCTATTAGTGCGCCACTCGAAGTATTATCTGTTTCGTACGTGCGAAGGAAGTCGAAAAAATCTCGACTTCCTGACATAGAATCGACTGGCATGCGAAGCAAGATCTGAGTAAGAATAATATACCAAAAAGTCGACGGCGAGTTAACATCTGACTCTTCATTATTCATAAAGTGAATGGATAATTGAACATTATCCCATGCTCGTACGTCGTGAGATATTTGCTTGAGCAGTTCATTCTTATTACGGAAGTCTTCGTAACGGGAGGCCCATCCTGATGGTTGTTCCGTCTTGTAGTCCGCATAGAGGTAGTCAGTTAATAGACGATATCCTCGGTTTATTCGAACGTTGCTACAAATCTCTGCAAATGTCTCATTCCACGGCGAGATAAGCACCATGAAAATGCTCCGATTTTTTATTTCGACCAAGTCGTTTGCACATTGAGCAACATCAGTGTATACATGAATGGTGTCAGACGTACTCGACAGATCATCCTGTAACTGCTTTGCTGCTGCAGTATCCAGTGATATGATAAAAATAGCCACATCAAACGCTTGATTGAAGGACGTTCTTTCAGACATTTCGAGTGATGATAAGTCGTAATTTTGAAAAAAAAATACGGAACGTGTTGTTTTGTCATAAAAAGAAAGAGGGTGTGGATGTGGGTGTGGGTGTGGTTCTTCTCTTCAAATCAATCCACACCCCACACTCACATCCACACTCACACTCACGCCTCCACCCAGATTCGCATCCACACTCACACATAGACCCACACCCACACCGATTCCCTCACGGACCTGTTTTTTCTATAGACCTGAGCGAATTTTGCATACGCTAGGAGTGTGGCTTATGCAGAATCGCTTGATAATCCTTTTCTTATCACTTCATCCTTAACTCTCATTTATTAAAATACGAGCAAGACTCGTGTGACACTTATATCGATCGGCGAGTACCTGCTTGTGGGTATAGACACACACAGCATTATATATACAGAGATCATTTGCAGTAATGACGATTCTGTATGCTCTTCCCTTTACTAATGAACGGCAAAAGAATGGCAGAGAAGCAAGATTAGTCAACACGAAAGGCTTGAAAGAAATTGCTGCTGATCGAAACAAATCGTTACTGAACTTAAATATACCAAAATGGCACATCTGATAGTTGTGTGGAACGAATGAGAATTAAGATGAGAGGCGAACACGGTAAAAATGTGCTGCTGTTTGAAAAATTCTCTGTAGAACAGACAAAAAACATCATGGTTAGTGAGCAAAATCTGCTGGAAAGTAAAAGTCTTGCTACAGTCTATCGAGTGGAGGGAGTGTGAGAGTAAGAATGACAGATGAATACCGTAAAAAGGATGCTGCGAGCAGAAAAAATCGTCGTGACTGTCGGTCATGTTATATCTCTAGAATATAAAATATTTTTTCTTTCTTGGTCGTCTATGAGTGTGTACCGTGCTGCCGTGTCTTTTTTTGTGATGCATCTTGCATTCTTTGCTTTCTTTTTTCGGCCTTCGCTCCTCTTTTCTGTCGTCTCATTCTTCACGAAAGAAAAAAAATCATTAATATACGAATGAGACGAAATGCGTTTGGAAGAAGAGAAATACAGGCTGCTTTCTTTAGTTCGAATGCGTTGTTTTTCGTTCTGTTTG